CATAATTACGCTGTTACGAAAGACCTTACGATTCACATGACCATTTGTGGTGTTTTTGTAATGCAATACTATAACCCAGAAGGCACAGATAGTAGAAAATGATTCGACCAAGTTAAACAGGCATAGACCGTTTGTGTAAAAAAGAAAGTACAGGATATAAATCAGATAAATAAAAGTTTTTAAAAAGTGCTATTAATGCTTCTATAAAACAGTGAAGGAAGTTAAACGTTTTCCAGCACAATTTCTGTGTTAAAATATAAAAAGGAATAATTCGTGTGAAAATAGGCTTGAGGAGAATTAGGGTACATAGCTCAATGGCTTCCACAGTAAACGTCATGTTTTTTCCGTTTCAAATGTCAAATTTGCACCCGTCGAAATATGTGACTTTTACTGTTACATCCACTATTCACAAAAATCCGCAGATTTATTTACCACAAGACACTTTGCTTTTTGCGGACTAATTGAGAGTATGGTTATCTGTATCGCACGCAACATCGTTTTCAACACCTTTGCATATTTTTATTTAAATACTTACCGTTCAGCATTACCTACTTATTGCGGAAGAGGAATTTCGGCCAGTTTTCTGCTGATAAAAGTTATTGGTTAATTTTGTGAACTACAGACAGCTCCTGAATAGCGAAGACGACGAAGTATTGCTTTGTTCGGATTCCGAGGAAATTAACGCCCAAACTGGGAGTTAATTCTTTGGAAAACACCTTTTCGCGCTGGGGCCAAAACTTGGCAGTCAATAGTACAAACGAAAGTAGTTGTGTACCTATTGATGAGTTAAATCCCCCCAAAACAGCAGCAAAAATAGGTGAAGCATGTACGTCTGGATAGCTAGCTGGTACCTGTATATAATTGAAGCGCAAATCTGCAGAGAATGTGTAAAATTACCAAGCAAAACAAAATGTACACATGATTTATGTGCATAGTTCAGTCAGTCATCAAAACAGCGCCTTCCCTGCATCGTGGTTGTTCATCTGACAAAAGAACATTCCAAAAGGTAGATACTTATAATGAAATTGTCTAAGTTCAGAGATGATATCTATGTAAGCACTCAGGAATTCAAGTTAGGCGAACCGATTTTTTCGATTAAATTCACCATCAGGCAATACAATAATATAAGGGAGGGTAGAGTTAACCAAAGTTTAAGCAAACAATCAGTAGTAAATAATCCGGGGGCTGTTAAGGGAACAAAGGAGGCAGATTCTACTTATAATTGGGAACTGGAAGGGGGAAAGGTGGGGAAGAGGTCCAACATGGACAGATTCATATAAAGATGTCTGCAATTTCGTCCCACTAAGTCAGAAAACAAGCCTAGTCCGCTGCCCCACTAACCGAGCTAGGAGAATGGGTTCCTCAGAAACACTGGAGAATAAATTCACAGTCACTTAAAACAATCTGCAAGAAAATGGCTTTCCTTAGGCGTTTCTTAATACATTTATGGAGGAACGTCCATCAAAATCCCAAGTGCCGATGGCTCAGAAGAAAACCTTATTTCTTACATTGCCTTTTCGAAGTGATCCAGCAAACGAACTTCTACAGCTTCGCTTGAACGCTGCAATCATGCACTCGTATTCAGCAGCTAAGTAAATATTAGTGCTTTCAAGCATTCAACTTCTTCGCCTGAAAGGCAAGGATAGACTTCCGTTCCAGACCTCTTCAACGTGCATCTACGCCATTAAATGCTCCTGTGGGGCAGGTTATATTGGTCGAACAAGCGCATCCAAGAACACCATCCTGGTAGGATAAACAGAGACGACGTTAAGTCAATATCTAGCACGATTTTAGCTCACTCATCAGATAGACGTAAACAAAGCGTTTCGAATCCTCTAAAAAGTGCCGGAAAAAAATTGCACGTTTCTGCGTCAGCGGATACTTGCGACGGCAGAGGCAGTCGCTATACGGCCCACTCACCCATTCTTATGAGCGCAGAAGGCAGTTGTACAGTCACTAAGGTTCCCGTTGCCAAAAACCAACTCCACATCCATCCACACGCTTCCTACCA